TATCTCTTCTTCCATGTGTTACTTTAAAGTCTGTCTTGTCACTTATCAGAATATGACCCTTGCTTCCTGATTCATTTGCTTGGAACACCTTAGTCACTCATTTCTAAGTTGTTATTACTCTTTGGTATGGAAGTGTGTTTTTGGAGGCATTTTCTATGAAGCAATCCCTCCTGAAATAAAAACAACATCTTGGACAGAAGATCCTTCAGATGCAAAATGTTCTAAAATGAGGAGAAACACTTCATATTTCAGGGTAGTTCTTTTGGCTCAGAAACTAAAAACTCTTAGACTTCAGGAAATCCCTGAAATTACCAGGTGCATGAGCCTACCCCACTCTGCCTCATTGTTCCCAGGTGTATATTAGCAGTAAAGGCTGTTGAGACACTCTCAGACCAGCTTAAATATAAAGAAGACTCTCAGACAACTGAGCTACTTGGAAGAAGGTCTTAGTCAACCTGCCTGGAAAATACAATCTTCATTCTTTTGCTCTTTTGTAAGTCGTGTAATGAGCTCAAGTTTCCCACTTCATGATCTGCCACCCTTTTCTGGGGTGGGAATTTGGTGATGCAGCTCTTTTGAATCATTTCTATTCCTCCATGTTGTCTTACTCACACCAAATGTATATAACCACAGCAAAATTCGTTGTTTCACCAAATTTGATTTGGATGGTATTCCTATTTTGTTCTTTCACACTATCTAGAGTGGGTAGACAAGTGTTCCTGTCTCTGTAGGAATACTGTCATACAACAGTAGAATCTGGATCAGAAAGATTTGATCTGCCAGTCTGTGTCCTTTAATTGACAAATGGAGACTCCTGATTCAGAGGTATTATTGAAATGCATATAGGAAAACATACCACTATGCCATCTGTAAGTGGTTAAGCAAAGTGCTGGAATATAATAGGAAATACACATGCATATTTAGGGTTAACATCACCTGGTATTCATGGTATCTTTGCTATGTCAAAAACGGGAGGCTCCTATCTGTAATTTTAAGGACACTTACTACTTATAAGACCCCTGGAGATTGATCACAATTCAGCATTAAACAGGCATTTAATACTGACTGTGACTTCTCGGGAATTCTCTTAAGAGGGTGATTTATAGTCCCCAAAGATGAGAACTACTTTCCTTTAAGCTAATTAAATGAGGATTTTCAGGGACAAGATAGTACCCTTAATATATATTTTAGGAGTTCTAAGATGACTGCAATATTCAGTAAAGGTTAAGAATCACTGAGTTTGTCCTAAACCAGAATAGAAATTAGATCTCTATAGTAACCAATATAACAATATTTAAGTCTGATAAAATAAATTACTTTTGTTTGCTTAGAGAGATAGAAATGACTAAAAATGAAATAATCTCATATATGCATATTAGTGGTTTGCTCCTTTGAAGCAATCTATCTGGAAAAGTGATACAAACATTTGACTAAAATCTATGCCTTAATTGTTGAGGGAAAAAGGTGGTGAAGGTTCCAGGATAAAAATGAAGACCTAGGGAGAGTTCACTATAATTTCTCCCTCTGTAGTCAAATTCTAGATGGGAACACACTTTACAACCTTGGAGCAGGCAGTCACCTCAGATATACATGATGCGAAGATAACTATGTTCTAATGGGTCATATTCATTTATTTTCAACCACACCAAAAATGGTGCTAGGCATAAGATGGAAAGTGGGTTGGCCAAGCAGGTGCGTGTCCCCCTGATCACAGTACATGCTGTATTAATGTATGCATTGAGATGTGCCTGCTCTGGCTGCTGCTAACCATGTGAGTGGAGTTGTTTATCATCAAGAATGCTACATCTAGGTTTTACGATAGCCTCTATCCCAGTTAACTTGATAACAGGGCCAACAGACTCTGCAAGGTGATATGAATAAGGTTTCTGGGTGCTTCATACAGAATAATAATCCCATTCTAACTCATAGGACTGAAAGAAAGAATATCCTTCCCCATGTAATTTTAATATGTTTCTGTTAACGTCCGATAAGGGACACTGAAGCAGGCTATGCTTCACATACAAAGTAGAAACAACAATGGTGCAATTTGTTAGAGAAATCATGCTGAATTGTTGTGTATGCTTCTTTGAGAGGAGGTGTAAAGGTATGTATGTGGGCACATACATAGTGTGTATGGTGAGTGTGTTGGTGTGTGTGCATGCCTGTGTGGTGTTCCTCAGGAGCCATTCACCTTGATTTTTGAAGGAGAATTTCTATCTGGGATCCGGGATACCATTAGGTTAGGATGCCTAATCAGTGATCATCAGGGATCCTCTTGTTTCTCCCTCTCCAGGACTGAGGTTATAAGCACACAGCATCACACCAAGGTTTGTACATGGGAGATGGGCATCAGCTGAGGCCCTGGTGCTTGTGTGCCAAGCACCTTATAGGCATAAATATTTCTTCAGTCTCTGAGAACTGTATCTTAATAGCCTTGTACAGTCTTGAGGGCCTGTGGAATCAGGATGTACTCAGTGAAAATGGAGTATGCTCAGTGCAAACCTCAAGGACAGTTGCAACTTGTGATATGGACTTCCAGTTTCTTACCCAATGTCAATGTTGCTCTTGTCCCTATTAACAGAATCCCATTTTCTTTTTGTTTTTTTGTTTGCATTGAGACGTAAGATGAGGGTTCCTGCAAAAGATGCTATCCTGGCAGGGAGTCTTCTTATATGCCTTTGGCTTTTTCTGTGTATAAATGTGCAAATGGTACCCAGAACTGGAACAACCATTTGAAATTATGAATGAAAGATCTATTATTCAAAAAGTACTAATTATTACAGACTTTGTGTTGGATGTTTCTGATTTCTCTAGATAGTATCTGCCAATTCTGTATCGATTTTACATTCCAATGTCTCCTAATTTACTTACACTGATATTCTCACGGTCGTGCAGGGATGTTTTGTGCCAAGCGTATCGATTAGAAAGTTTATAATTCTAAGATAAACTGGCAACACGGAAAAGATTTAATCCAAAGAATTTATTAGATATTATAATAAACTAAAGGAAATTTATAATAAACTTCATGGCATTATCATAAACTAAATCAGAACTAAGATGGTCTACCAAATAGTAGGACAGTGAGCAGAAAAATTAGGCAAGAAATGAAAATGGGGCTGACTGGGAGAAGGCAAAGCTTGGATAGGCTTTGAAATTCATATATTAAAGGCCTCTTTTTAGAATGTTTTTGTGAGCTTCTCTGGGGCATAAACATAATTTTAAAGATAACAAAATATAAGGGGTAGTCAGTGCTAAAACACAAGGATGAATAAAAATACAGTGGAATAGTAATTAAAATACACTGTATTTTAGATGAACTTACAAAAGCTAGAAAAATGTGATAATATGAATAGTATTTTCAAAATTTAAGAAACTAATTATGGAAGCTTGTGATTAGAGGATGCATGCTTTCTAATAAGTATATTAGCTCATCTGCAAAAATATAAAACTGAAAGTTAATGTAAAATAAAGGAAAGTTTTGAGAAAAATGTAGCTCAAGGACAAACAAAAGAGAATACAATCCACAACTGAGTGGTGCAGTTGTGGAAATTTAGTATATTTTCTCTCATCTTGAGTGTTCAAACATAGGATATTGTAGAGATTAGGGATATCATGCATCCTGGCTGAATGACTTTGAGGTTCCTAATAACCTGGGACTATCAGCCTTTTGCAATGACCTAATACTAGAACTACTTTGATGGGTATTTGATAAGTTAATATAGTACAAACGTCTGATAAGGAAGAGCCAACCTGCACTTTGCAGCTCCTTTGTGTGATGGTCATCTAAAAGAGCAATATGATGTGTTGAGTCACTGTCAAACATGTCACTTGTTCTTATATTGGCCAAGAGCTCCCACATCTCTCCTTGACGTTTGTAGCATGTTTTTCTCTCTCTGTACTTCCATTTGTGGTCTTTTTCAATTATAGGAAATTCATTTTCTCCCATATTCAAAAAAAATTCTGTGTCCCAGCATTTATGTTTTTTTTTTAAAATCAATTCTGTTGATTCTTGGCTATACCAGTATATCAACTATCCTGGCTGACAAAAATTATCACTTTAAGATTGTGCCTATTCATCCTTTCCCACATGACCCATAATGCCTTCTTTACAGAAAGCATTTTATAATGTTGGAGAATTATGGCCATTAGGTAGTGATATCAGACCCCTGCCACATCTCATATCTGTGTCTGAGGTAGCTCTTTAAAGTGCACACATACGCAGCAGTAAGATGCGAGCAGATGTTTTCTTTTGCAGGGGATTTTAAAGAGAGACAGTATAGATGATGTGAAAAATGCTAAGAAAACTAAATATAGCTTATGTCCAATGGTGATATTGGCAACCTCTTTGTGAACTGCCCATTTGCTGAAGAGAGTTCCACATAAACATCCAAGAAACACCCTGCCAGATAAAAGACTCAACTCCAGAGATTGCACTGACAACATTTTGAGTAACTTTTAAGTTTTATTAATCTCAGCTCAGTTCTTTTGCAGCCTCATATTATGTAAAGTTTCCTTGCTTCAGTCCCAAACTTTGCATATTTACGGTTCTCTTTCAAATAATTTCTTCTGTCAGACTGTCCTCTTTCATCTTGGTTTCTAAAGAGCAGGCATCTTTTCTGCTTTTGGAAGTCCCTTCTTTCTAGACTTTCTTTCTGCACCATCCACAGTGTTCAACTTCTCAGTGGCACATCACTGTGACACATTTTGGTGGGCACCATTCTATGACACATGTGTTTCATTTTCTTGGATATAAGTGATGATCATTTTATCATCCTTGAACTCAACCAAGTGCCTAGGTAGAAGGTGATGAATAATGAATTAAAGGTTATGTCCTCCAGTTCTTGACCCTTAGAGGAGCGTGTGTCAGGCCACCATAGGTAGCTTTGCAATTAGAAAGTATTATTTAGCTTTGAATGTTGAATAAAATCGAATTGACTTCCCATCTGTAAAGCCATGTCTTTCTGTACATGACACACTTTTTCAGCCACGCATTTTAGCATAGACACACTAAAAGAAAAAGAGAGACTTCTCAGTGAAGTTTAATTTTTTTTAAAGAAAGTGCCAATACTCTACATGCATGAGATCTCAAGATTTTAATTTCTTTTCACTTCAGGAAGGTTGAGATGTATAAACAGTTTACAAAGCTGATCTCAAAAAAAAAAAACCAATGACTTAAATAAACTGTGCTTTAATGAAAACAAATATTAATCTGCTTGGTTTCTCATATAACATGTTTATTAACAGCTGAGTGTCAATCATTTATTAAGATTATAACAGTTAACCTTGAAATGGAGCTAATAATGACTGTACTTGTTACTATATATTTCAGATTTTTAAACGACTTTGAGTAAAATGAATGCTACTGCCATTAAATTGTGCTTGGAGCAAAGACAAAGAAACAACAGCTCCTTGTTTCCAGCTAGTAAAACTAATGATGCAAGTTCATTACATGAGTTCAATGCTGTTATAATGGTAAGTATTCTCTTTTCTGCTTTTATTTGTCATTGAAGCGCAATATATCATCCCTGGACATTAGCAATTTACACTCAATCTGGATTTAAATATTGGTTTTAAATATGGTCTCCAAAGTGCCCTGATAAAGATCAGTATTTCACTTCCTCTCCCCATCTCTCAACCATCTATCAAACCTCAGGTTAGGATTTCTATTGGGAATTATAGCTTTCCAAGAAATGTTTGACATTAAAGTATTATCACTGCATCAGAGGGGGTTAAAACTCATCAACATTCTGAAGGAGCATGTGCTTTAGTATTGTTCCCACTTGACTCTTTTTCTTATAAAGTGGCAATTTTTGCTATCATTAGAAATATACATTTATATATATAAAGTTTTGCATTCAAATCTCTTTATTTTTGACTACCTAATGAAAGTCCACAGATCAAATAAAAACTTTATATAATATATCCTCATTTCAGAAGCATATGTATATATACACATATATATTTGTAGAACAATCCACAGTTTTAAATGTGATTCTGGCTTAAAAATGCTATTTACAATCTATGACACAGTAATAAATCCAACCTTTAATGGCATTAAAATGAACAGGAATTTTTAAGCTTGACTGTGTCTCATCTTGTGCAGAAGAAATCAAGCAACTTCATGGGAAGTCTTCCCAAAAGCAAGGTTTTGTATACTAAACACCAGGGTATGAGGATAGAATTTCTATTTCTGGTTTGATGTTTTAAAACACAAATCACTGTCAAAGTAGTCATGCTTCTTATCTAAGCAACCAGGGGTCCCAGACTGGACCTAAAGACAATTTAACACAACAACCAAGTTCCACTCCATCCCTTCCTCTTGTTTCAATACTCTCAACACTTCTCTGTGGCATGACAGAATCGTCAACTGAGAAAAAATACCTAGCAGCAGGATTGCCATTTTCCTAGGTAGAAGAGTTATTCTGTATAGGTGTTTGAATAAGAATGAGGTCCATAAAGAATCGCATTATAGTACATGGGTGTCTAGTCACTGTGCCAATCCTTAATGGCTAAAAATGTTTTATGAACTTCACATATATAATTCAAAACCAAAACTATCACTATGATCAGGAAAAAAGTGGCTCACTGTGTTTAGTCTTCTGAAGCACAAGGTCTCAACGTTAGCAGGTGGAACTTCAGCACCATTTGTTTCTAGGCCTCAAACATCTAGTTAAAATATCAAGTACAGAATATTGACCAAAAAGCCATTTTGTGAGACTCGCGGCATTTTGTTTCCATGATTAAGACCATTCAGTCAAAACATAAGGTTTCCTAGAGTTCTCTACTGGAGTTCTTCCCTGGAAATATAGTCTTGCATCGTTTTGGAAGCAACAAGAAGCAAATCCTTATTGAAATGAAAGAAAACCAGGTGATAGATGAGTTGAAGTCAGGAAGGAGTACAGAGACTAGCACAGTAAAGAACTGCCATACTTGGAAAAAAAAGCTGAAAGACAACCATAGACACTGGCTCATGTTTTTAAGTAAAATTGGATAGTTATATGCTTATATTTCTTCATGTATTTTAAGACTTAAGGCAGTGAGTATTGATTCTATCTATGGTTTTAATGTATTTACAAAGCAACCAGAGAGTAAACAAATGTTCGCCCCGTGCCCTAAACCACACTTTTTTCCTGGTTTATGAATAGAAAAAAATGTAAGACTTTCAACTTGTTCTGGAAATCAGTTGTAAAGGAAGCAAAGTTAATTTCCAAAACACATTACATTTGCTATAAGCACAGTGTGGAGGGAAAACTGAAGACAAATGGAGTGGTCTTTTTATCTACTGATGGGATGGGGACAAAGGTGTGTCTGTATGATGAATGATTGACAACCACTGAAAATAGAGAAGGGATTTTATTAGAGATTGATATCAGATTATATTTTCATAAACAACATGATTGAATTTCTATCATGAAATCATCGGTGAGATGGGCAACTGTGACTTCCACCAATTGCATTTCCTGTGGGCCCTCAACTGCATTATGGTTGAGTAAACATATCACCTTTAGACCTCCAGGCGCTTCCCCCTAGAAGATCCCATGACCCATTTTTGTTGAAGCCTCTTTATTTATTATTTTGTTTCAAAGAAAATAAGGCCTTGTGCTTGGGACGTGTTTGGTCCTGGAAGTGACAGGTGTATTTATAATTAAGTTGGATCAGCAGTGACAATGAATACATCTTCTGATTTTGTGTCTTTACATGGTTATTCTCTTTCCCTAGAAAGCAATATTCCTTATATAAAAATTAAATGTATCTGTTACTTTCCTTATATTCTGATTTCAAATGTCTTTAAAAGCCTGACCTCTGTGCATAACTGCTATTCTTCCTAGCTTTATAGGAAAATTCCTCCAGTTCATTTCCTGTCATTGTTCCGAGAACATAAATAGGATACTTGATAGGACAAGAATCACACTGAAGAATAATGATTGTGTAGAGGGGAGACACTACATTGACCTTAAAAGAATACAGCAACCAGTGGAAAGGTTTGAGGTGAGAACCTAGATCTTCTGCAAAGTGTGCATTTTAGGAAGTCATAGTTGGAGTAATACATGCTGGACAGTAGATATATAGGAAAAAGTTACATGCTGAGTCTTCTCATTATGATACCCATAAATCTGCAAACATTTTAAACGTTCTGGTTTGTTTTGTTTGAATTTGGATGTTTCTATATCATTCAGGTTTCCAGGCCTAAGTAGATCTAGTAATTCCAATGCCATGGTATAACTTCATGCCTTTGTTAACGTTTCCTAGTCCTTCAGTAATCCTAACAGTGTGTTTGCTTGCTCTTACATGGAGTTCGTTTTCACTACACAAACCCACCACCAAAACTCTGTCTATTGAAATCAAAGCTGTTAATTTTTTTTCTCACAGTCCCTTGAACATTCCATGTTTAATTAGTTATCTTCTGTTTTCTAGAACACAGAAACTAGACTTGTCAATGTGGATAATACAAGCGAACTACTGCCCTCATATATGGTAAGTCAGGAATTTCACTAATAAGTCTCCCGGTTTTTCATAGAGTTTGGAAAGCAGTCTACACACAAAATTCTGGAAACATAAAAAGGCGATTAAATTTGCTTTGACTTGATATCCCAGCCCTATTCCTCAGGTAAAACCCACCTTCCTTCTTCCCTGCTGCAAGACATGGCAAAAAAGAACAACTTTCTATGGCAGCTAGATATGCACATACACACTCAAAAGTACCCACAAATCAACAGTAAGACTGAATGGAAAAGGCTAGAAGCCAGTGCTTCTTCACCAGATACAGCAATGGCAGCGGGTTTTTATACCTCCTCAGAAATACAATAAAACCCTTTTCCCTAAATGTCTAAAAAAAAAATAGTGAAATCCTAGATCAATACCCAGAGAAAAATACGATATTCCCTTAGGAGAAACTCTTTACAAAAGAAATTAAAAGAGCTAATATAATTAAATTCAACACAAAATTTCATTTTCTAAAATAAAAAAAATATTGTCAACATCAAGAATAATGTTTAAAACTTTTCTTCATACTAAATGGCCCCTGACTGATAGACATTAGATATATGTCTGATAGACAATAGAAGAATATAATTTTGACAAGTTCAATTTTAGGATTGAGATGATATCCTGAAAACAGGAGGTGATTGTGTATCATTTACAGAAGTCTAAAGAAAATACAAACATGAAACAAAACTGCACATCACAGAATTCTCTAGAACTTAAAAGGATTTAAGGTCCAACAACATCTTCTAAGTGGCTTTCTAGAAACCTTTTCCATCCATTCAGTGACTGTATTTTGTCTGCATTACAGCTGTGTCTTTATTTACAATTAGCCCTCTGTTAATAACAGCACAGTTAACTTTAGTGTCCTGATTCATTTTTCTTTGCTTTTATGTAAGATAATTGTTATGCATGTGAATTTTCTACCACATTGCAACAGGCAAGCTTTGGTTCAATTTTCTTGTCCTACACAAAGGAAGATTTTTGAGTGCAGAATCTCAGCTACTAAGTCCTGTGATGCCATTTTATTATTTTTCTTTTGTTGGGGTGAATTTATTGGAGAAAATGGGGAAAGGGAAGGAAAGAGAAGGGAGAGGGTGGAAAGGGAAGAATAAGATGAGTTTTCAGCTATGTAGAGTCTTGATTCACAACTTTGCCTCCATTCATGGTGGGTGTTCCTGAACTTTTCCTCGAACGTCCTTGCTTTTCTCCAATTTCATGTAGTGACGGTTCTCTGTACATACACACTGGAAAGCAAAATTACAAAAAAAAAAATTACTTATGACAATCAAAATAGACCTGACTTCACTGAACTTCCCAGTTTGATTTAGAACGTTCAGAATATTTAGAATTTTCAGGGCACCCTCTATCAGCAGTGATATCTGGATGAAGATAGAGAAGTAGAATAACATCAATATATTTCTTTAATTGTCCCAGACTTCCTTCACCTAAACTAAGGCACGGAGCCCATGGACTGTTAGCTATTTTCCAATAAGGAATGTGGTTATTTACATAAGATTAAGTACATCCTCTCTTCTTTGTCTGGCACCAAGGTTGTCATCTGAGAGTTATCAAGGCTTTAGCTCAATTAGTGCTTAGAATAAGTAGGATTTTCCAATTCATAGTCAGTCCTACAAGATAAATCACAGTGAGTCTTTTAGCCTCCCTGGGCTGTTATGATAGAGATGTATGTACACAGGCATATTTTACCAAAGGATCAGGAGTTACTTTCCTTCTTGAAATAAGAACTGTCTATTCTGACTATCATCACCATAATGGTTCAGAAATTTGAATGTTGTTTTAAAAATCAAATAGTTTCTTCTGTTGGGTAAGACTCGGATGTTTATATCATCGGGAGCTGGACTATTTGGTCCACGGGCTGTCTTAGCTGCTAACTGACTGTCAATTCAGACACACTTTTATGGCTGAAAAAAAGAGCAATTTCATCAGCATGAATAGATAGCCAATATCTGAAAGGATCAAGAAAAGTAAAAATAATGACATTTATTAAGATTTTAGATAACTTGTTTTAGAGAATGCAGAATAAACTGTTCTGGTCTAAGCTACTCCACTACTTCCAAAACAAAGACTAAAAATTGCAAGCATTTGTTCAGCCAAGAGATAGGCTTTTTTTCCCAAGTGTATTTAGTAGTGTGCAGTACTGTGCACTTTTATGAAATAGGGATATTGTTATTATATGACTTACAGGTCATAGGTTCTGTGGTGAGTTTGGGATTCTTTACTTTTTACTAAGCTACCAGGTGATGCTGATAAAATATGATAGTCATTCTCTGAATAATATAGAATATAGCTATGAAAGATGCTTTTAAATGTCGTATACAAGAGTATCACACATCTATTTTTGAATGGCATGTTTAAGCATTTCAATTATTTCCACGAATGCTTCTAATATCTCCAAATGCCACTGGTTGAAGTGGGAAAGTGCAACCTATAGGTAAGCTATGCACAAATAGCCCAGAGAGTGGATTCCGATATAGTCAAGCGGTGTAAATAGGTAATTCACCTTCCTATCTTTAACAACAACAACAAAATATCCTGGAAAATTCTTATAGTATAGCCTAGTAGATCATTGAAGTCCCTTCAGTATACTAGCTCTTTTTTTTTTTATTGATTTTTATTGAGCTCTACATTTTTCTCTGCTCCCCTCCCTGATCTTAATTGTATTTCTGTCATGAGGAAAGTAGAGCAGGTACCAAAATCTCCAAGGTGAAGGCAAACTTCTATCTGTGCATTATATATCCACTTATCTACAGCTGACCAATGTACAGGGCAGTTCAAAGGTAATAAAGTGATTCCATTGGAAAGCAATCCCCAGGCTGCCAGGAAGCAGTTTTCTAAACTCCATCACCTATTAGACAGTGAAAACCCAGTCTCCAGGATTCGACACAGACCACTTAAGTCGTAATCTCAATGCATAAAAAGAAAGTTTGTGTTTAAATACCCAGAAAAAATACTGGGGCATAGATAATTTCAACATCATATTAGGTGTGGTAGTGCTGGATAACCATTAAAACAATGCATATGTATATTTGAGCTTCCTATAATTGCAATATCCCTTCTGTTCTCATTATATAGATTCTTCCTGTTAACTTTTTATGTATTTACTATTTCTCACACAGATATAAAGTATTTCAAGTAGAAACACACAAATATTAGTACCAAAATTAGCACTGCAGGTAAATTTTCCAATAATTGAACCTTAGTAACCATCCTGAAATAGAATCTGCAAAGAAATTTTACAGTTTATCAAAGTAAAACTCAATAATGATGTTACAACAGAAGATAAAATTTTTAGGGTAATTCAGCCATCCTATTTTATGTCCTATTAAATTAAATAATAAAATTCAGGGTTTTAATAAACCAAATGACTAAGAGGTATGTTTTCCAGTTCACTGAAAGAACTGACTGTCTTTCCTTCACCCTACACATCAAATACATTTCATTCTCTACATTTTTGTTCACAAAGTATCCACTTTAAGTTGTAAGAAAATCTAGGAATTACATGCAAATACAGAAAATGGAAGGAGCAAGGGAGGAGGAAAAGAGGAAAGACGGGAGGGAGAGGGGAGAGAGAGGAAGAGAGAGAAAGAGAGAGAGACAGAGAGAAAGAGAAAACACTATTACACCATTACTTTTTCATCATCATTTACAAGTCCTGGAACCTAGCAAACCATCTAACTTTAGACTGTAACAAGTAAAGGGCTCTAGCTCTCAAAATGTAGAATAGAAAGTACTTTACAGAGTGCAATTGAATTCAATGACATTGGAAAGGACAAGCACTCTTTAGTGTGATAAGAGCCACCTCCGCTAGCTTTGATAACTGTCTTTGAGCCCAGTTTTGAAAACTTCAAAATAAACGATAGAACAAAATTTAAGAAGTGGCAAAGGACAAGGCGTCCGACAAATATATTCTAAATCAAAATATAAACTGTTAATCCCACAACTAAGGCTGTCATTTTGAAGTATTCAGAGCCACTTTAAATGGATTGTCCTATTCAGTAATTAGAATCATTTTGTGATCATCATAATACGAAATTATTATCTTCATATTTTAAACATAAAGGAAAAGAAATGATTTCCCTAATATAAAGGGGTGAGCAGTGGCACAACCCGAAAGTGAATGTCTAGTCAGGAGTTCTGATCTAGACAAGCCTCAACAGACTAAATGATATTAGACAAGGTTTACGATATTATTGTTGCATGTTAATTAATATTCAAGTTGGCCTTACTTTTACTAAATATTCCTATTGTCACTAAGAAATGGCTTTGAAAACAAATATCACACGGATGTACTGAAAAGAATAAGTAGAAACCAACAAAGTTGGCAGGTATGTGGTGATACTGAAACTCGTGGGCATTGGTGCTGAGAATGTTAGGTGGCACAGCCACAGTAAGAAATGAGAATTGTTAAGACACGGAATTACCCAACACTCCAACAACTGCACTTCTAGATGTGGATAAAATGTAAATAAAATGAAAAGGCTCTTAAATATATTTTTGCACACTTGTAATTATAGCCACATTATTTATAATAGCCAAAAGATGAAGTAAAGTGACCATGAACAGAATAATATATGAATATAATGTGCTATATATTCAAATGTATTACATTTTATTTAGTTTTTGAAAGAAAGAAATACCGATACATGCCACAGCATGGAGGAACCTTGAAGAAATGGCGGTACGCCAAATGACCCAGCTCAAAAAGCAAATACTGCATGAATCACTATGAGAAAATTAGGATAATGGTATGCATGAAGGCGAAGTAGAACTGTTGTGAGCGCCCTTGAGGAGAGAAGATGGAGAGCTAAGTCTTAAAAGGTGTAGAGACTAAGTTCTGCAGCAAGGTGGAGAGACTCAGTTCTGCAGCATGAACAGTTCCAGGAGGGTTTCCAGGGATGGTTTGTAAGTTCTGGACAAACGTACGGGCACTGAAATGTACACTTGAAATGCTACATTTCAAAATTTCAAAGTGATAAATTCTCTTTTTGTATTTTCTCCGTAAAAGCATCCTAACAGCCCTGAGTGTAAGTAATAAATAAAAAAGTACGTATCTGGGTAGGAGAGATGACTCTGCAGATAAGAACACTTAGCTGATCTTTGCAGAGGATCCATGCTCAGTTCTCTGCAGATGGTTCAGAACCATCTGCAACCCCAGATCCAGTGAATCTGACCCCATCTTCTGGCCTCATCAGCCACAAAGCATGGATGCAGTGTACTTACATATATGCAGACAAAGAACTTCAAACATATTAAAGTAAATAAATATTTTCTTTTAAAAGAACTATTTAATCCAGAGTTTCCCTGTTAGCATATGGATCGTCAGCCTCTTTTCAATAATCAGAAATATCTCCGTACTGAAAGTAAAGAGTGGAGAATTGAGATGTAACTGAGAGAAGATAGGGGTGGAAAGAGGATTCAGGGATTCAATGAGAATTTTAGAACTGTGTTCCTTATGCAGTATCAATTTAGCTATGATGCTACGAACAATTAAAATAGAAACATCCCCACTTGGGTTGTCCTGTGAAGGTAAGCATGAACACAGGATGAAATAACACAAGGAATTGTGAGGGAGGAGTGGCCCAGGACTCACTAGTCTCAGACTTATCAAATCCCTACAACTGGAAACCATGACCGCTATACGTTAATATGCACCAGTCTAAATTTGATAGTAAATGAAGAGTAAATAATATGCTCGTCCAGAAAAATATACAAGTATCTGGGGAAAATCAAATAATTCAATCATTTTTATTTGTTTTACATTTTTTAATTGAGAAAAGGAAAAAAAAGTTTCCGCCTCCTCCCAGCCTCCCATTTCCCTCCCCCTCCTCCCACCCTTCTCCCCCTCACCCCACTCCTCTCCCCCTCCCTCTCCAGTCCAAAGAGCAATCAGGGTTCCCTGCCCTGTGGAAAGTCCAAGGTCCTCCCCCCTCCGTCCATGCCTAGGAAGGTGAACATCCAAACTGGCTAGGCTCCCACAAAGCCAGAACATGAAGTAGGATCAAAACCCCGTGCCCTTGTCCTTGGCTTCTCATCAGCCCTCATTGTTCGCCATGTTCAGAGAGTCTGGATTTATCCCATGCTTTTTCAGTCATCTTGAGAGGACAATAATCAACTTTATATGGAAAAATAAAAAACCCAGGATAGCCAAAACAATCCTATACAATAAAGGATCTTCTGGAGGCATTACCATCCCTGACTTCAAACTCTGTTACAGAGCTACAGT